AAATTAATGCTATTTTAACTAGAAAAACTGAGCTATAATGACTACCCTCGTTACAGGATCCCCCAAACCATCTTGAATGTTTTGGTGCAACACGCCAATCTTTTCAGAGAAAAGAAGGAGAAAAGAAGGCTGTGGGGTGACCTCATTGCAGCCTTTCAGTACCTAAAGGGAGCCTAGAAATAGGAGGGGAGTAAACTCTTTGAAAGGGTAGATAACAGCAGGACAAGGGGAAATGGTTTTAAGTTGAGGGAGGGAAGATTTAGGTTGGTTTTCAGGGGAAAATTCTTTACAGAGAGAATGGTGAGGTGCTGGAACAGGCTGCCCAGAGAGGTTGTGGATGCCCCGTCCCTGGAGGTGTTCAAGGTCAGATTGGATTGTGCCTTGGGCAGCCTGGTCTAGTATTAAATGGGGAGGTTGGTGGCCCTGCCTGTGGCAGGGGGTTTGTAGATTCATGATCCTTGAGGTCCCTTCCAACCCTGGCCATTCTGTGTTCTGTGATTCTGTGATTTTGCAAACTCCAGAGACAGATTACAAAGAGAATCCGTATATGAAAATTAAAGTAAGATGTATGAACACAATGTATAAGCTGCTAAAATAGAGGTGGCTAATTTTGCTTCAATATTGGAAACAGATTCTGTAGGAGACAGTGATGTCAGTGGAAACCCAAGCAGAATCTATTTTTAATGGTGTTCTAAAATGCACTTTTACTACTCAGCTCTTCCCCTGATAAAAATTAATTAAGTGTAATAAGTTTTATTAATATATTTTCTTTAAGAAAGCCAATTTGGAGATATTAACTTCACAATTTAATATTTGTATCTGGAAGATTAAAAATGATTATCTTTTGAAATCTATTTAAGCATCTTTCTAAAATTACTGTATTGATGAAAGAAGTGATAAACACCCAGCTGCTTTGACACTATTCAGAAATAGTGAAGAATACACATTTTCGTTCTGAGACAGCTGAATGACCTTAAACTTCTGCTATTGCAGACAACTGGAGACACTTTTATTTTCCAGAACAGTGCTCTTCAACACAAGATTGCTCCAGTCAAGTAAGGACGGGCACTGGATCACATCACCACTTAAATAATCCTTAAGAATACTTTCCACCTCCTTCAAATAACAGAATCTCACACATTTCAGTTCTTTGTTAGTGTTTGTCCTCCTGTATTTTGTTTCATATGACAAATCTTATTGGTATTTTAATATTAAATTAACACTAGATACTCTATTTCTGAAGATAGATTTCATAAATAATTATATGCCTTGTGTAGAGAGATTTGGCGGGAACAGAAGTAATTACCAAGAGCGAGGAAAGCATAGACTGACTGGTAAAACACATTCAAAACTGTCTGGATGCAGAACACACAGAAATCTATTTGGTCCTTGAGTTTGCAAATAGCACAGTATGAATAATAAAAATCAAGTGTGTCTAAGGCTGGGAGAGTGAGGAAAATAGAGAGTCCCTAGTTGTTTACTTGAAGAAATGCTACTCAGAGGTAAACATACTCTTGTCTCCAGGAAATGGAGTGCTCCTGAAAAATTATTTTTAAATTGAGAAAAACATACTTCAGTTTAGAGGGTTTTGCTGTCTGAATTCATAACCAGGGAATAGTTCTGAAAAGGTGCCCTTTTGCTGCATCCTGTTTTTGATTTGTGAATAACTGAGAATTAAAATGATCAGAAGCTACAGTTATTTCAAGATCTGCTGAAACTAAAGCAATTCTGCACAGATATCTCCTAACTTTCTTTAACACTCTGGACTTGTAGAGAGAGAAAATAAATTACCCAAAACTGCTGTCAGTACTGTTCCCTGAAGAGAAACCCTAAAAGAAGTTCTATGCCAATTCCAATGTTTTATTATAACAGTCTTTTCCCAGGGATTGACAAAAGGGCTTTGTCTGCCAACATGCACACAAATATATTGCATACATTTGCAAATAGCATAACCTCCATGTATTTTTTGCCCCCATTAAAAGGTGATTTTTTTGTTGTGAAAAGATCAATTGTCTGACTCTTCTTAGCCATTCATTTTCCACAGAATTTGTTTGGAATATGCAGAGTTGACCAAGGACTTGTTTTAGGTCCACAGAAAGGTAGGTGCAAGAGTATGTTTAGTAGAGAAATAGTAAGGCTGGCACACACAGTGTGTGCTAAGGCTGTGTCTATAGCATCCACAGTGCCTTTGGAGAAGGATACTGAGGTTTACACTGTAGCAGAATGGTCACTAGTAGAAGGCAGATCTTATCACCGAAATCCAGTTAGGGAACAGAAACGTACAAAAGGAAATAAAAAATTTGCTATTTCTGTATTAAGGCACACCAAACACAGCACATGAAGACAACATAAAGCAAAAAGAAAACAAACAAACAAAAAGTTCCCCTGAAGCAGATGAAGATACATTGATTTAAAAACTGCCTGGTTTGTTATGACTGTGACTAGTATTTATTAATTACTTTTTGCCTCTTTCTCAATAAACCATACCAGTGTTTGAAATACCTTTTCTTTTCAAGTGTTTTCTTCTTTTCATAGTCTCAAGTAATTTCAGCCTATCTTTCCTCTATTCTTGACTTTTTTCTTGGTAACTTGTTTTACTATTATCATTGAAACGTACTCTACATTTCAGTGGTGCTTTAACTCTCTTTTTGTGATTTTCATACTACTATTGGTAGTTGAATTTATTCTGCTGTAGGGGAGCTGTTAGGTCATAGCTTGTTATGTACATACGTGACTTCACATCTTTTGTGTTTTTCTATTTAACTTATCAGTATACAGGCAAAAAGAAAAAAGAAAAAGCCTTGATTGATATATATAATAGGCTTATTTTACTATAATAATTTATTCTACAAACATTAGGATTTGGATATTCCAGAGTATGGGATTTTTGTGTTCTATGTTTTTAGTAGGCAAGAATTTCCTGTGAGTGCTACATACTGGAAAACTGTTTTGTTTAATAGCAATGTTTATATTTTTATGTACACTTTAAGGAACTTGGGTGCACTGAGAGTTTGATTCCAGGTTAAAGTACCCAATCTGAACTTCTAAATTTAACATAATTTCTAGTCCTGTTTAATATGTGAATTGATGATCTAGACAAGGGTTTTGTGTGCACCCTCAGTAAGTTTGCAGATAACACCAAGCTGGGAGGAAGTGTCAGTTTGCCTGAGGGTAGGAAGGCCCTGAAGAGGGGTCTGGATAGGCTGGATCACTGGGTTGAGGCCAATGAAATGAAGTGCAACAAGGCTAACTATCATGTTCTTCACTTTAGCCACAACACCAGGCAATGCTACAGGCTGGGAGCAGGGTGGCTGGAAAAGGATCTGGGGTGTTGGTTGATGCTCAGCTGAACATCAGCAATCAGTGTGCCCTGTTGACCAAGAAGGAAATGAAATCCTGTCTTATATTAGACTTAGTGTTGCCAGCAAGAACAGGGGAGTTCTCATCCCCCTGTATTCAGCTCTGTTGACTCTACATTTTGAGTACCGTGTTCAGTTCTGGGTCTCTCACTGTAAGGAAGACATTAAGGCCCTGGAACATGTTCAAAGAGGTGTAATGAAGCTGGTGAGGGATCTGAAGCACAAGTCTTATGAAGAGTGACTGATAGAACTAGGGTTGTTTCCTCTCTGGAGAGGAGACAGCTCAAGGGAGACCTTATCATTTGGGACCACTGAATTTCATCATTTGACAGATCAGTAGCATTTTCAGTGTGCAGAAATCTAGACAAATAATGTTTTTGTTAATCCAATTTTTTTGGAAAGTAGCTTGTCTGCCTTTTGAAGCTTGCTTCTCCCTAGGGGGGTTTTAAAGAGATTCATTTTTAAGCAAGTCAACCCACACACACACAAAAAAGAATTGGAACTCTATTTCTTCATTTTTGGAATCAGTAAGGGCTGAACTGTACTGGTTGGTACTGTATGGTACTGGTCTGTCATGAGGGTTTGCAGCAGTCCAGCAAGTGTTCTGAGAGGCACTGTACCTCAGGTAAGCACAAATATTAATGCATGGTGGGAGCACTGCCTTCTGTAATTGCTAATGATGTATTCCCTTTAACAGATAACTGCATCTTATTATTGAGAGAAGACGACAGCCACATCTAACTGTACCTCTTCTAGGGTTGCTACCTTCAGTAACACTGCAGAAGCTTTTTACGGTTTATTTTTACTGTCTATATGGTACATGTCAGAGACTTACAGCATTCTGCTTTCCTGAAGCCAATTCTGAAGAGCTTAGCTGATTCGTTAGTGCATATATGTATTTTAGCTCTGGTAGTACAATAATTAGAAGTGTAGAAACAGACATGCAGAAGAGCCAAAATACTTATTTTCCATTTTTGCTCAATGTCATGTAAAATGTTAACACATGGGGAAAAAGAGTGAATTGAAAGCTTTTACATTTCTTCTTTCTGAGAAGGTATCAATGTAAGTAAGTTCTGGTCCCATCTACTAGATTAAATGTTTTATTTGATGCTGTGAAAACACATATTGATTTATTAGATGTTCAGTGATAATAAAGAAATGCTTGTGTGAATGTTTTAGGCACTTATACCACCAGCTGTTAAAGAAGAAAAGAAATGATTGTATTTCTCTTGAAAGCGATCAGAACTAAATCATCTTACAACTCAGACACTCTAATTTCTTTTCTGCCATGGGGAAAAATAATCTTTGTGAAAATCTGCTGTGGGACAGCTGAAAATGAATGAAATCTTTCCTTTTTACTTATTTTGAAGAGATTTGGGAATGGTCATTAAATTTCCCAATTTGTTCATGTTCTATCTCTTCACACACAGGTCTATGTTATGGTGCACTTATAAACTAGAAAGAAAGGACTGAGGTACAAGACAACTTGCCTGAAATAAGATGGGCTTTAAGGACTTTGATACAGGGGGAGGGGTGGAAGGGGCTAAGTATATGATAGTACTGTGAAATACTTTGGATGATGTAAGATTTTATTTATCTACTTTGACAGAAATATTTTCCTTGTCAATAATTAAACCATGAGTTTTAACATAGGAAACATAGAATTTGTTTTGGTATGCTTTTATTAGTTTATGATGTTCCTACCAGACAGCTAAAAAATGAAGTCATGCTCTCTGCAGATAGCAACTTTGACAAAGGTACTCTTTTTTTCCTTCTCCTCTCCCTTCCCACCCCCCCCCCCACCCCCTCCGCTCCTCCCCTCCATGGAGGTGTTGAAGTTCAGGCTTCATGAGTTCTGGGCAGTCTGATGTAGTGGATGGCAGGCCTGCCAATGGCAGGGGGTTGGAACTAGATGACCTTTTAACGTCCCTTGGAACTCAAGTCATTCTATGATTTTTAAGTAATTTAAAAACGTATTCTGGTGCAGTGCAGGAAATTGGTTGTGGAATATCCTGCCCTGTCTCCAGTACTGTGGAATAACTAATTGCATGAAGTATTCAGTGCTCTCGGAAGAGAAGCTAGAGTCGGTGCTTTGCCCTTCCACATGTTTCTTTTCAAATGCTGGCAGTTGCTTCAAGCCCATAGCCTGCATTATGTGGAGTTTGTCCTGTTTGTGAATTACAATGATCCAGGTTGAAACAGAGCCTCGCACTGGTTTGTGATAGAAGTTATTTTCTCTCTTAGCTATTAAATGTCTAAAACCTGACTTTGGATGATGAAGGGATGTTTGATTACGTGAGAAATGATATCCTCAAAGGAACTGTTCTCTTTGAGTGTAAAATATTGTTCTAATAATAGATACAAGCTCTGCTCAGAAAATATATTTTAGAACATGTTAACTAGTCTTTGATGCCATAAACAGATAGCTTTCTTTTGGATCCAGGTATTTAATACAATACAAAGTGTGATTAAATGTACAGATAATTTAAAAAATTATATCAGATTTGTAAGCAAAGCTGGTCAAAGATTTTCAGTAAAATGTATTTTTATCTTATAATTTCATGGAATGTGTGATAGACTTTCATAAGACAAATATGAACTTATTAAATAAATATAGATAATGTGATTTGAGTCTCAAGAACAGGATGCATGTTCTGTGGTCTGTCTGGTTCAAGTTGATATATATTATATCTAGGCTAAGTTGAACTAAGTGCATATGTAATTTAGCATCTTGCAGCTCTATATTCTGTGTAGAAAATAGCTAATAAAATAATTTCTTTGAATTTTGTTGCTTTCTGGAGCTTTCTATTGCTGGAAGGAAAAGATAGTGTTTATATTGCAGTATATCTTATTTAGAAATATATTCCAGAGCTGAGGCCTGTCCACTTAACTCATCTGCAATAATATAGTAGCCTTCTCCACAGTTTGAATTAATGTGTCTTTGCTCCAGAACCTCCAATAAATCAACAGAGAAATAGTACTATTGACTGAGGTGAGCTGAATTACCTCAAGCAAGGATCTTTTACGGAGTGAGTGAAGTTATGTTTTAAAGGCAATATGTTGAGCTATCATGACAGAAATTATGGTAGTAACAGCAAATATTTAGAAATACAATGGAGACAGGTTACTCCAGTTGTAATTGTTGCAAATTGACAGTCTTCTTACATGTTTTTGTGAAACTTTCTCCAGAGGAGCAATGTTTAGTTGCAGTGAGCTCAAATATGATTAAGATCATGGAAAGCGGCTCAACTTCCTAGCAAGGCTAGACTACATTATGGGGGGGACCTGAATAGACACTGGCAGTCATAATTGTAGATCACATTTGAAAGTCAAGGAAGTATGCTTCCTGTAAATTAGACTAGGTTAAACTTCCTGAGGAGTAAGGTGAGAGGTTACTGAAGTAAACGAGTAGAACAAGTAAACAAACCTGTCAACATCTGTTTAACAACATAAAAGGTACTGTTTGCATAGCTGCCTGTTTTCTGAAGAAATACACACTGTCCTCAAGTAAACAGTGCGGTCAGAAGATCAAAGAGTTCATAGATGTAACCCTAGCACACGAAGTGCTGGATTGCAATTAACAAGGTATTCTTTCTCTGCATTTACATGTGGAGATTAAACTGAGATGTCATCACCATCTGTCACTGCCATACTGTGATTGCATAGCACCAGTGCAGATATGTCAGAGGGGAAAATAGGGACAGGAAAAGGACAGATGCAGAGTCAATAGGTGAAGTGCAAGTTCAGTAAATCCAAAGCATGACTATACTTTCAAGAAGGGCTTTAACTGACCTTAGGGGCTATGCTTACTGTACACTTGCCACTTTATTTCTAACTTCATAATAGCTGCTTGACTATTTTAACATAAGAGTGACTGTGAGACATTCATTGTTAGCAATCACTGATTTCCATATATGGGGAAATACATAACACTGTAAGACTTCTCACAGGTATGATTTTGTTATAATCTATTTATTTTGATAAATTGCTAAAACTGCAACAAATGTTAATTTAGCATGATACTGAATTATGTCAAATACTCTATGGTGTTATTCTAAGATTTTTGCATTATATTATATACATAGGAAATATGCAAATATACTCAAATCTGTACTAAATATATGGCTTGGAATAAAAGGTTTAATGCCATTATGTTTTTTGGGGAGCATAAGGAATGAGTAACAATGCCATTTTTCTTTCACTCTAGAATAAGTTTTACTTCTGTTGAAATGGTTTTATGTGCATACGTTACATTACTCTCCATTTTCACAGATGGAGGTATAAATTTTCCAGCAGCCCTTAGGATGGTACTTAAAGCCCTGTAGTTGAATGCTACCTGATTTTGGATAGTATTTTCTGGGTAGAGTTTCCATCTGGTTTGTAGATGGCAGAAGGCTTGTTCAGTGCTAAAAATGGTTACAATTATTCCCAGTTTACAGCATTCCCTGTGTCAGCTTTTTGTGCAATTTATCCAGGCTCAATATAACATGAGTAAGTGAAAACATGAATAAGTGTATGAAAAAGGGATGGTTGGGTAAGAACAGACAGTCTGAGTTTGGGAAAAAAAAAAGAAAGAAAAACCTCTTAAATTAGTGCTTAACATAGTATTGATATGTTTTGATATTTTTTCATCTCTATGCTTTAATCAGTAAGTGAACTTTAAAAAAAAAAAAGATCCCATGGTTAATAAAGAAAACATTGGTGAAAGTTATAGAAACACATGAAAGCTATCAGGAAACAAACACGCAGGAGTGATTACAGGGAATGTTTGTTAATAGCTTTGATGTTAGAATATTTGAAAAGAAGAAAGCTATCAGTGTTCAAATTCTCATGTTTCCCCTGATTATGCTTTTTTTAGAGGCCAAAAGCAGCTATAAAACAAGCTTTAATCTGCTCTGTGAAGTTTAATTTGAAGTAGCATACATCTAAATTGCTGTAGTCCTATAAATTTGGAGTAGGATCTTCATCTTCTGCAGTGATGTGGAGAATAACCCCAGAACTATCTTCAAGGAAGATAGGAGTTTCCTATGTATACCTGGGTGAGGCAGACGTGACAGAATAAGCAAACAGATCAAATAAAACTTATCTGTCAAGCGAGGCCCTTTTGGCACAGATCACTTCACTTGCAGGAAAAAAAAAAAAAAAGAAAAATGTAGAAAAAATATGATTTTAAGGTGATGGCAGCATACTTTAAAGTGCTTGAGTTTGGTAAATATAAGCAGATTTCACATCTGAACCATCTGTTTTTTCATCAAGAGGAGTGGAGTCGCACTGGAAAACAGTGTTTAGATGCAGTACTAAAGGATGTGGTTTAGCGGGGAAATATTGGTGCTAAGTAGATATTTGGAATACATGATCTTGGAAGTCTTTTCCAACCATGATTTTCATTTGGGTCGTCATTTTGGTCGTTTCAGCTGATGCTTAAGACTGCAGAAGACTTGGTGCCCTGAGTCAAGGAATAGCCAGAGAGATTCATTTCTACTCAGACCAGGTATTTAATGGTTTGGATATCTGCATGTGCTTTTGGACTCTCCATCAAACAAAAGTTGGCAATTGGAGTAAAAAATAGGACTTTTTTTTTTAATATGTTAAGAGAAATAGATTCAACAATGAATCTTTGCTGCTTAAAAATTGTTTTGAAAATCTATGCAATGGTTGCTAAGTGTGGTTGCTCATTTATATTAGTTAAAATAGATACCTGGAAACATTTACATTTTTAAATAAATTTATCCTTTTTTAGAATGATCACATAGTTTACACTGAAATGTTTTGTAGGGAATAAATATTTCTCTAGCTTCTTCAGACTGCTAGATAATCCAGTAACCTGCTCTTTAAATTCCTCTGAAGTATCCCTGCACTAAAATTGTTTGTTTTATTTTTACTAACCAAATGCATGCTAAATCACATTAAAGTATTAAGAGATTTTTTTAATGTTGTGCTCCAGGTACAGGAGTTTTGCATTCTGATTCTGACCAGAAAAATTTTCCAAAAATGGGAATCACCGTGAATTCCGAATTCAGCCAACTCATTCAGTGAATGCATAAAATAGCTATCAGTAAATATGTGCTTTCTTGGCCAGAGAGAAACAGCAAATAAAAATCTCAATTTTGCCAATGGATCTCTTATTTTCTGTTTTCCTTTGACATTAGTGATTTTAAAAAAAAAAAAAAGAAGGCATAGTTTGACTTTCTCCTACTGAATCTAAGATAACTGTCTGAATTTTATTGTCAAATTTAAATGGACAGGTAGTGAACCAGCAAGGTAAGTGATGTCCTTACCCTCCTGCCTGCAATCAAAAGACAAAGCAAATATCTCTTGGCAATCTAAAATCATGCTGGTTCTATGCCTGTATTAGTTCATCCTTCTTCAGGTATATATATGTGTCTCTATTAAAAAATAAAATAAAATTTAGAAATACTATAATGGACTAGTCCAAAGAAAAAGGATAAAATTATCAAGTACATCTTTAGAAAACATTAAAATAGATGTTTATATTAATCAGTTGTACAACATTGAAGGAAATTAATTAGTTCTGGCCCATCAGGTATTGACTGAGGAGCTGTAAAGTTGGCAAAAACTAAAAAAAAAAAAAAAAAAAAGGGAGAAATCCTTTGATAGATGTTCAAGTGCAGCAGATTATTCTGTACAGTGTGGAGGATTAAAGAGCTGCAGTGAGCCTTTAAACCCTCAATAAAAGTTGAAAGAATAAATTGAACTCTTTAATTTTATTGCATTTGAGATTTTAAATTATTTTCCACATGATGTTAATCTCTTGTACAGTAAATAAGATAAAATACTTTTATTCCCCTTTATTTTTCTTTGGTTTTTTTCTGTTTCTAAAATCACATTCCCAAGCTAAGGTTTGTAAGATGCACTGAAGAATTTCTTGTGTTCTTTATCAAGATGGTCTAATAAGAGGAGCAGCTGTTAGTGATACCTGCCTTTGACGGTAGTGACAAACTGAAAAACCTTGTAACTAGATTTCTAATAAGTACAGGTTTTCTCATGCCAATCTATCAGGGAAAGGTTTGTGCTTACCCTGAAGATTCTCCACATTTCCATATCTCAGGTTCTGAAGGAGCAGTGTGGGTAAGCATTTCCAGGACTGAGCTCTCATTCTACATGGCGGTCCTTTGCGTGTGCATATTGACAAGTGTCCCCAATGGTGTCATCTCTTTGGTGAAAAGATGACTGTAGCAGCTCTCCCTGAGCACACAACACAAAGCTGAAACTCTGTAGACTTTGAGTTCCTTGCTCCCTAGGGTGCAGAAAGGGCTGTAAAGTCACAGCTGGAATAGATTTTTATTTTTTAAGAACAGGAAGGAAGTTTTGGTGCTGCACTTTGAAATAAAAGTTGACTCAGTTATCAGACATTCTCTGTATGCAACTGTATATAAATGATTATTTTCTTTCCATGACATAGATACAAAAGGTTTCAGGTATTTTTTAAGATTTCAAATTCAAATTTGGAAAGTGTTTTGTTGAGTCATAAAGCCCAGATGTCTCTACTAGCTTAATGTTTGGAATAGTCTATGAAAGCAGCTCTTCAGTTTACAAAATGTCAGATAATAGTAAAAATAAGAGCATACTTTGTACAGTTGATGGATATCTGAAGCATATCTCTAAGGAGCTTGAGTCTTTCTTATCCAGTTATTTTAGAAACATACTGAAGAGGCCACTGATGTGATGTTGAATTAATGATAAAAAGAAAATTGTTTGATATAATCCATTAGAAAAAAAGGAAGAAAAATCAGTGGCTTTTGAAAAAGAAAAGGAATGTCATTTTTTTTTTTCCCTTATCAGTCAATGTTATTTTTCTCATGGTTATAACTTGGCTGTTTTATTTTGTTCTTTATTTTTTTGTCACCTTCATATAGAGTCCAAGCTACTAGCAGTTCCATCCATTGAGCACTAGAAAATTTCTTCAAAAAATACACTCATTATATCATTCATGATCACAAAGGTAGTAGCTGCCAAAAGAGACCTCTTTTTAACTGACGTGGTCTAGTTGGAGAAACTCTACTGCTTACTTCCTCCTACTATTTGTGGTTTAGATGTAAATGGGCTCCAAATGCTGTCATTTAATTGAGCAGTTTTGTTTACTTGTCTACTTCTCCAGTCTCTGAACATCTCTCCGCAGGAAAGCTAGATACAGGGAGCACAAACTACCTGACAAAAAGATTTTGTCTTCAAGTTCCAGTGATAGAACCAGCTGCTTTTCTATGCTGTCTCTTGAAGTTCTTTTTTTCTTTGCTATGTGTGCAATGATAAATATGTATTTTGTGTACTGTGATAACTGCTCTTTTCCCAAACAGAGAATTGGATTTCACATCTAGGCATCCTTGCTTCCCCTTGAATTAGTCAGCATCATTCCAAAGTACAAGGTAGACTTGGTGAAACATGTGATGCTATAAATTTTCTCTTTTTATTTTCTAATTGGTGGGTTTTTTTGTTTTTTTTTTTTTGTTTGTTTGTTTTGCTGAGCTTTATAGGTGTAATCCTCTTTACTGCTTCATCAGTTCTGTGTTGATAAAGCTTATTGCTTTCATCATGAAAATCAGAGGTAGTTCCAGTGGGAAACAATTTTTTTTTAATTTACTTTTTTTCATCAGATCATTTGGTCTCTTCTTCCATGAAAAGCTGTTACTTCAGTACTGTACATTTGACAATCTGTTTAATTGTTTGATTGGACTTGCTGAAGCAAAAAAATGGGTACAGCGGGAGCTGACAGACTTCCATTTGTGCCCAGAAAAGCATATGAATTTACAGAGAGTTCAGAAGCTTTCAATATTAGTTGTTGCCAGTTTTCATATTAGAGGAAAACTATGTGTAAGGCTTGCTTTGGGGGCCTTTTGTGTTTGTTTGTTTGTTTGTTTTTCACTTACAGGTTTAAACATAGGCTGTATCTCCCATTTTGTAACCATTCTGCAGCAGTGCTCATGTGTAGAGCCCTTTGTGGGTTTGTCCTGGTTTGACTAGATTGCTCCTGGAAGCTATCAAAGAGCTGTAAAATCCCCAGCACCAGCTTTACCTTTCTTATGAGCACTGGCCAACATAACAGTTGCTTCACTTCACAGCAGCTGCAACTTTTCCTTTTCAGCTTCCCAAACCCCTCAGCTGTAGGAATGGCAAATCATGACTGCTTTGACCTGTAAATCCTTTCTAATTTCTTGCTGTCCTTGTGCCCAAGACAGGATGCAACACTGGTACAGCCTCTGATTGTACACAGAGCCCCAGAGATTGGCTGACTCCAGAGCACAAAGGCTGAAGCCAAAAAAACATTGATTTTTAGCACAAGGATCTGAAATCTAATCAAATTTCAGTAATATCAGACTGTGACCTTTTCTCTTATTAGTGAATTTATGCATAGCTTAGTCTCTGATTCCCATATCGCTTTGTATGTGCTGGTGCTGCCTTCAGCATAATTATTGGAAGACTTTGAGTGTTAATTGAGCATGATTGAATTTTGATATGAATTATGTGTGCAGTATGTGAGAAGAAAAACGTGCTTGTATTTTTCCCAAGGTAGGGAGGAGCTAGGTAAGCAAACTTCCTAATGGGACAAGAATCCTAGTTTTTCATGATCCAGCTTTTTAATGTTGTTCAATGAACAGGAGCCTGATGACATAATGCCATGTGATACAGTACGTTTCACTTAAAATCTGTAAAATGCATCACCGTAAGCCTCCTTGCAGTATTGGAGTGGAAGCTCAGACAATGCTATTGTTGGTAAACCCTCCTTTTTCAAGTGTTTAACTTAGCTGTAAAAAAAAAAACTGGGGAAAAAAACTTGACCAGCATTGTCGAGAATAGACTTTAACAATTACTTGTTAAAAATTTGCTACAAATATTTATCAAAGAAAAAAGTCCTTTCTTTTCTTTCAGAAATCATAAGAAGGGCATAGCCTGTAATATTGTGGTGAATATTTTGATGCACAGTCTACACTATAATTTCAAAGCTGATGTTTATTTACTAATTCTTTGAATTACTTTCGTAATGAGTGGTGAAGATTTTTTTAGTTTCATCGTTAAGTGTCTACTTTGTGTTAGTGTTCTATTTTTATATTAAAGCATACAGTGGAAACATTTTTATATTAAATATATTAAATATTTTAATATTATTTTTATATTAAAGCATACAGAAGCATTAAAAAAATTAGATTTTTTGAAGTCTTAAAAGCTTACACAATTCACTAGCCTTTTAATTTAGCAGTTTATTTACTTTGACTTAAAGTCAAACCTTCCTAGCACATACCAACAGGTTAAAATTAAAACAGCACATTACTATTTCAGTAAAGAGGTCAGTATAAATATATGCAGGGCTATGCACTGTACCAGAAGACACACAGGTCACATCATTGCTTTCGGGAGAGCTTGAAGACACCTGAAGAACTGTGGGGCATATAGAGCTTGTACGTTATGTGCTTAGATGTTTTCCATGCTTCTCCCCTCTGCATACAAACCTCAATGTCTGCAGAATGCATATGCAAA